TAACAATAAGTTGAATATAAATGAAACAGAACTATATAATGTATGATAACTAAAAAATTAAACTTACATAAAAGAATATATGTCAGATAACTAAGATCATATGTTATTTTTATTGAATTTTCTTTCTAATATTCTGCATGTTTGTAGGATATCATGGTGATGATCAGATGAATGAAACTCTATTGGCGGAAGCCAGGAAGATTGGCTTTCCGTTGATGATCAAGGCCGTGCGCGGTGGTGGTGGAAAAGGTATGAGAATCGCTCAGAAAGAATCCGATTTCGTTGAGGCATTGGAATCGGCAAGAACTGAATCCGAGAAAGCATTCGGTGATTCGGCAGTGCTTCTGGAAAAATATGTCGCCGAACCTAGGCATGTAGAAGTACAGATTTTTGCTGACAAACATGGGAATGCCGTTTTTCTGTTTGAAAGAGATTGTTCTGTGCAAAGAAGACATCAGAAAGTGATTGAAGAAGCGCCTGCTGTATGTATCTTTATTATTGAGATTTATGGAATAATAGAAGAGACTAAAACAATTATATATAACTCTATTTTACAGCCTGGCATTTCCCAACAGCTCAGGCAAGAACTGGGCGAAGCAGCTCTCCGTGCAGCTAAAGCTGTAGGATATGTGGGTGCTGGAACGGTAGAATTCATAATGGATCGGAACAATCACAGTTTTTACTTTATGGAAATGAATACACGTCTTCAGGTAGAACATCCTGTTACCGAGGCAATTACCGGTTTGGATCTGGTTGAATGGCAATTGAGAGTTGCTAGTGGTGAAGAACTCCCGCTCAAACAAGAACAGATTACACTTAACGGTCATGCATTCGAAGCAAGAATTTATGCTGAGGTAAGCGCTATCATATTATGTCTATTTATGTCTCACATGACAAATAAGTGTAATATAAGCGCAATTTAATTTATTATTGAATGGATTTATCGTTGTTATGATATCACAGAATCCAAGGAATGATTTCTTACCAGGAGCAGGTCAGCTTTTGTATTTAAAGCCTCCTGAAGCAACGGATAATGTCAGAGTCGAAACTGGAGTACGACAAAACGACGAAGTATCTGTACATTATGACCCGATGATAGCGAAATTAGTGATCTGGGGAAAAGATAGAAGCGAAGCTCTCAATGTACTTATATCAAAGCTCAGTGAATACAACGTAAGTAGTGTGATTAAAAAATTGAAAATAAAATTCATAAAGGCTGATTACATTGTAGATTGTACAATGCCAGATAAAATAATTACATTTAATTGAAATAATTATTTATTAAACTTGTGTCACAAAAAGAGCAATGAGTCAGGCACGAAGTTAATGCTTAATAAATTACAATATATTATGAAAAAAAATTATATTAATTCGATATCTAAATATTTGGCCTTACATTAGATCATCCTTAATGGATTTAAAAATAAAAATTTACAGCATAATAATCATATTACACGTAATAATTTGTTAAAGCGACAGTGGTTGTCGCTTGCAGATAAAAATATATAGTGTCACTTAATTATCTAATATTCTTTAAATTTTAATTCAATAAGCCTTATTTAGATATTTATTTTTGGAAAATTATATTTGCAGATCGCTGGTTTGGATACCAACATACAATTTATTAAAGATCTATGTGAGCATTCGAAATTTCAAAGTGGCGAAGTGCACACGGGATTTATTGAGGAGAACTTTGAACAACTATTCCCTAAGTTACATACCTCTAACAAAATATTGATACAGGGAACTCTCGCCTCAATTCTATATGAGGATATAGAGTCATTAAGCACATCCTTAGAAACAAAGGATCCTTTTACTCCGTTTGCTGTGGAAACTGGACTAAGATTAAATCATGTGTTGAAGCGTACGTTTCTTTTCGATGTTGAAAAAGAGAATAACATAGTGGAAGTGAAATATGTCGAACCGGACGTATATCTAATGAGAGTCAACAGATTAGGACCCTGGAGGAAAGTAACTGGTACTTTAAAGAAGACTGATGGTGCTTTAGAATTGTTTGCAGAAATTGACGGAATTATTATTAAAGCACGAACGGTGAAACTTAATAATAAATTATACATATTCACCAAGGTAGTTAATTGCATAGTGTTTAATATACTATAATATACTATAATATATTATATATAGTTCTATAATATACTATATATAGTTCTATGAGATGTTTATTTATAGGATCGTGAATGGCAATTGATTATTCCCACTCCCAAATTCGTGACTGCGATTACGAGCCAAGCGGAGCAAAATCCATACACGACTCTAAGTCCAATACCTGGATTAGTTGATAAGATCTTCATTAATAAGGGAGATGTAGTAAAGAAGGGCGATTCATTGCTTGTTATTGTCGCTATGAAAATGGAGGTGAATTTATTGGTTCTACATTATTAATGTTAACGCGATACGTATATGATTTTGCTAATATCTTTTTATTTACAGCATATTATTAAGGCGTCCATCGATGGAATGATTGAAGATGTGCTATGTTCTGTAGGTGATAACATTACTAAAAATAAGCTTCTTGTAAAATTGGTCAAGTGTTAAATGTAATGTGATATACATAAAAGGAAGCTGAACTGATTAAAAGTACTAATAAGAGTTACTGATTAAAAAATATATATAGGAGGTTATAATTCTCAAATAATTATTGTATCGTTAATCTAAGTATAAAATAAACAAGGTTAAATTATTAAATTAAAAAGTTAATTAATTTTAATTTCATTTAGTTATATTTTAGACTTTTAACTTTTAACTTTATATAATTATATTTTATTGGTAACTAAAGGGTCTTTCAATAAGGACGCTCGATTTTTAAATATAAATAAAACAAGTTGTATGTGAGATATCCACTCAATTTTTTTTTTATTCGAAAGAATATTTTATGGCATTAAGTATGGAATATAACGTCGCTCAAGTGTCCGCCGCGGCTTCGCTTGGTGACACATATTCAGGCGGTCCAATTTTCGATGACTTTCTCGAATAAATCTGGTTGAATTTACTGGATGGCGTTTGTTATGTTGACTTTGAGAGCATCAATTATTTGCGGTTTATTCGTACAGATCTGCAATTTAAGATATCCCCAAAGGAAGAAGTCTAAAGGCGTTAAATCGCACGATCTCGGTGACCAGTTTACATCGCCGCCGCGCGATAACCATGCCCTCAAATCGCTCGTGCAGAATGTGACATGTAGTGTGTGGCACGTAGCGCCTGTTGGAACCACATGTTATCGGTCCATATCATCCATTTTAGGCCACAAGAAGTTGCTTATCATCGATCTGTAGCGCTCGCCGTTGACGGTTATGGCAATGCCCGCTTCGTTTTGGAAGAAGTATGGACCGATAATTCCGCCAGACCAAAATCCGCATCAAACAGTGCCTTTCTCGGGATGCATTTGAAGCTGGTGTATCTCGCGTGGATTGGTATCGTCCCAAATTCGACAATTTTGCTTGTTCACACATCCATTCATCTAAAAATGGGCCTCATTGTTAAAGATGATTTGTTTGGCGAAATTTGGGTTAACTTCCAACTGCTCCAGAATCCAATCAGCGAACACACGGCGTTGTCTATGGTCGTTAAGTTCCTGGGTTAGTTGAATTTTATAGGGGTGCAGACCCAAGTCCCGACGCAAAATTCGCCAAATTGAAGTCGCAGAAAGGCCAAATTCTTGTGAACGACGAGAAATTGACCGCCTCGGGTTTTCCCGTTCACTCTCACGCACAGCAGCGATGTTTTCAGACTTTGCGTTTCGGCGACGTACTGGTATTGGCTAATTATTTATCGAACAGGTTGACTCGAATTTGGCCACCAAACGTCGAATAGTCGACTCGGCAGGACAGTTGTAGCGAGGATAAAAATCACGTAATGTTTCGCGGAACGTTTCTTGAACGGAGCACTGATTTTGATAATAAAATTTTATGATTTGCACACGTTATTCAACACTATGACCTTCCATAGTGATTTGCCATACACTACTAAACAATTCACAACAAATTTGACAGATGTCACTTTAACAACATGGCTACTATGATCTAACAAATTTCGAGCGTCCCTATTGAAAGACCCTATATTAACTTTTAATTTGATTTTTTAAAAGTTAACATTAGGTTGGATAAAAACAGGGTAATTTGGTGTTATACAGATCTATACTCAAATTATATGCTTAGATATACATTCGTTTCGAAGATATATATTTTTAATTTTAAATAATTTCAAATATTTTATTTATATTTAAGCAAATAATAAAGAGGTTTAAAAGCGATCCATCGTCGTGACTTAAAATCACGATTTTCTCGAAAAATCTGTAGAAGTGCAATTTATTACGTTATAGATTATTTTTTGATGCCCTCCAGAATAATCGCGCAAAAGGTGATCAAAATTCGTGAAATACATATATGAGTCTCTCCTTGTTAGTTAAAAAAATTAACTTTTTAACTTTAATTTAGTTAAAAAAAAGTTAACTTAAAATCATGAAATAAAACAAATTTAATTTTTAATTTTTCAATTACTTTTTTTCATTAACTTAACTTTTAATTCAATTAATGTCATGGATTAACTTTTTTATCTTAAGTTAAATTTTCAAGGCTGTTTAACTTTAACTTAATTTAATTAAAGAAAGAAGTTAACTTACTCAACCTTGAAAATGAATCTTGTTATATATTTTTTAATAAAATGAATTCTGCAATAAAATTGATATCTATATTTTGTATATCTATTTATAAATGTTTAGTAATCAAAATTTAGTAGTCAAAGTCTTAAAATTTATCTATTATTCTGGAAAGTTGAAATTATTAATAAAAGTTTCGAAGAATCTCTCTCTCATTCTTCTTTGAATGACAGTGTAGCTAACATTCTAAAAATGTTTCCCTATTGGACAAGCATGTGTGTAATCTTAAAAAAAAAAATTCCATAACGATTGAATTCTTCCTTCCTAAGGGAAAAAATTATAGAAAGCTGAAGATTGGCAGCAACTTTAAAACGTTCAAAGCGGTGTTGCGAATTGTGTGGGAAATTATATAGTATAATAGTTTCTCAGATTCAGAATAATAATAATAATAATAATAGTAATTGCTTAACTTAGCGTGACATAGATTGTAAATATGAGTAACTTCCACTCTCCTATGAAATGCATTTCTCCCAATGCAAGGTAAATATATACTTTAAACTATTATATGAGGTTAGGACATATTCCATAAAGAATTTATTCTTTTCTAAATCTATGATAAATACGTTACTTGCAGAGTTTTAACGCCCAAACCGCAAGTACAACAATTACTGGATCTACGGCAAATGCAGTGCAAAGCTCGCAACAGTATCATGTGGTTTTTCATCAACGGTGTGCTACTTAGCATCATAATTTTTGATATGTAAGACTTTTTTTCTCTTAAGTTGTATTTAAAATGATAACGATTCTTAGCTGAAGCTTGGCTCTGTTTTCTAGATTTTATGGTGGATTCGCATACAAACCGATTTATTGGATTGAGTGGTGCTTAGCATCATTATTTGCTTTGAATGCTGTGTATCATATTATACAATATACCTGGGCGATCCTGAATCTGAAACCGATTACGCTGAGCTCTAAACAACGGCCGCTTTTAGGAGTGTCAGAAGATGATCCTCTGTTTAAAGACGAGGTGCCTCAGAAGCAGACAACTCCAGAGCCAAGTCCATTATTAAATTTGTCATGCATAAATCTTAGCAGACGTTCAACGACTCTTGGATCTTCGATTCTGAGTGATAGTATGCAAAATACTTTGTTATTATACTAGAATTAGTCTTAAATTTTATTATGCATAACAGCTTTTTTATATTTTGTTTTTTTTTTTTTTTTTTCAAGAGGATTATTCGACATCAGTCCCATTTTTTAAATATAGTAATTTTACATCTCCTAAAGCAACTGTGTGCTCCAATGGATCACTCAGTAAATCTACGAACATTTCTTTAAATGGTAGCTTAACAAATGAGGATCTTATTCATGATGAATGTGAACTTGAGACTTATCTCAAAGAAGTCGAACAGCAAAGAAAGTGTGTATTATCCCCGAAAGTCGATCAACCTTCCAATCTCTTGAGTTCTTTTTGGTCTCATCCTGCTACTCGGAGTCCTGGTGAGGTATCACCATTGTTAAGAAGATGTGCTTATCAACTGGCACCTACCATAGGTAAAGCTAAGATTTATTTAATGTCATGTGTATGTTTTTCTCTGTAAGATTTAAAAAAAATCAAATTATTATTTAGACAAAACAAAAGCAACCAGCCCTGCTGAAGAAGGAAGTTCTCCTAGAGGCACATTTGGTATACTAGATGTATGGAGGAAATATAGAGTTGATTCAAATAAAGTAAATGAATGGACTGCCAATCTTCGAATGGTAAGAGTTACAATATAGAACAAAAAAATAATTAATGGTATAAAAAATAAGAATTGTTTAATACTTAAAATATATAATATATATATAAAATATTTTAGTGGATTAGCAAGACAGTTGTCGAACGTGTGGCATTGGAGATAGACAATATATGTGCAACATTAATACGTCACGGCCTGAGCGACTCACAGCCAGGCCATGTAGGTCTCGATAGACTCAGGAAACTTGCACAAGCACAATTTTTGGTCTGTGTGATTCCCACTCTGCCCACATTAGTTCCCTTTCTAGAGCTCTGTAATAATCAGGAATATCTCGTAAAAAGAATAAAAATACTTGCAAAAGGAGGCTCCATGAGCGAATTTAAATGGAACGGTGGTGGATCTCACAATGGTAAAGAGTGGGATTCTAGCTTGCCAACTGATTCCGCAGTAAGCGTATAGAGAATAAATTATAATAATTATAAATTCTTTGTATCTAAGAGATTGTAGCTCTTCTAGAAATTTTTATTTTTTCTGACATTCTATATGTCTTTTGCAGATAATAATGCATTTAATTTCAACCTACATGGACACACAATTGGAAGCGCCTTTGGATCAGCCAGACGCCAGGCCATTTACATCGAGATATATGGCGAGATCTGGAATGGAATTGCCGCGAAATAAGGGTCCGATAATAGTCTGTCAATCCATCAATCCACCGCATTATAGCCTGGCACTATCTGACGATTCTCTTCCGAGCGATTATGAAGAAGTACAACGGGTAATTGAAATCTTATGAATATATATTATACCATGTTTGTTTTATAATGATATTTATGTTTTTAGGGCCGCAATAATTTGTTTCATACACTCTTACTCTTTTTATACATAGTCAAAACGCGAGATCACGGCATGTTAGGACGAGTTAATGCAGGATCATCTGGAATTAATATCCTGTGGGTCATAGATTGCTGAAACAAAAATGACTTTTGCTACTTGATAAAGATAAAAGAAAAAAAAAGATTGTGACCATTATATAAAATCAAATTGCATTTATTTATACTGCATTTAATATTTTGTCCATAATATTTCATGTATATAGTGTTGATTTAACAAACGCGACTAAATAAAATAAATATTTATATTAAAAAGGTTGGTTATTGGTATATTACATATATTGAATATTATTTATTTTTTTGCAGCTATATACATATTTGAAAACAACAGAGATTATTTAGAAAGTTATGACAAATTTTCTCTCTTATAATTTTTCATTTAACAAGAACCAACCAATGTATCTTTTGCCAAAATCTGTTAAGACTGATAATTTTGTTACTAAACATTGATAGTTCAATTAAAAGTACAATATATATTTTTTCTATTTTTCAAGTTGATTGTGTATATCTTTATATCTAAACTATAATTTCACAAATGCGCGTACTGTGTAGAAATATTTTGTTATAAAGTCATAAATATTACAAGATCATTTAATCATTGCGTCTCTTTCCATAAAAATCCCAAATGATTATTTCAATTACATCTTCCTGACATAAATAAAGATATATAGAAAAATTAATTGTATATGAATTTTCCATCTTTCTTCTTCATTATTATGATCAATTAATCATTGAAATATATTCAATGTGATCAAATAAATCGTTCTTAAATTAATGCAGTATTCTAATTTATTGTACTCTTTGGATTATAATGCATTGTAAAATTACAAAGGATTTTTCAGCTTGAATTAATATATACAATAAGTAAATTTAGCAATTCTGATAGCATAAATCACAATATAAGATTAGAACAAATACTTTATTTATTACAACAAAAACTAAGTAATAAGAATAAAGATCATATCTCATATATATATGATAACAGCGTTTATATGATATATTTATACATGTGGTTTAGTTTCGCACTAACTTTTACAATTGTTATGTGGACACAATTTAATATTATAGCTGCGTTCGGTTTGGACGCTCACGCGCTTTAAACGCTACTATCATTCTGCCTTTATTTGTTGAATGCAAAGATAGAAATGCTGAACGCATTCAAATCAAACCCAGTCTATGTGTAAGAGCACGTGGCCCATAAGAGCTCACATTGCACACATGAAATTTATCTATTATAAAATTTATAATTTATAAAGTCTTAGTCATTTTTGCTATTATATGGTTTAATAAAACAAAAAAGTAAATTGTTAAAATATCAATTAGTAAATTGATTATAAGAGTTGTTTTAGTGATTCTTGTTTGAAGAATTGTTTTAAATATAAAAAATATGATTAAAAGTTTATGTGAACTACTTCCAAACGATGTTATTATATAACATCACTTCTTTTTAAACTTCTTTCTACAAGAATCAATAGTAACATAATAGTAATGTACATATACAATGTATTAATTAAAAATAGATCAAATAATTATAAAATCAATTTCAAAGAGAACTAAAAATATGTATATAATTATAATTATCATGTAATTATATTAATTGTATGCATTATATATAATGTACCACGTGTTGCATTAACATGTTGGTCAATATGTCAGATTATTTTATAAATGTGATATCTTTTCTAACAGATATTGCTTGTATAAAATTAATCCATTAATTACATTTATTAAATTGATTATATTTTACAAATGTAATTAATAAAATGCTTTTTTTCGTAGGCATTGATATTTATAAAAAATAGCTGACATATGTGATGCAACACACGGAACATGTACATACATATATAATTACACAATTACATGTTACAATAATTCTTTATTGTAAATATAATTGAAATTATGATATCGATTTATATCTTTCAAGTTATTTGCGAATGAATTATTTTCTGAAAATGGAAGTATTTAAGATTAGACATTAAAGAAAACGAATAAAGATCTCTGGAAGAACAAACTAAATGAAAATAAATCTAATATTTAATACATTAAGCTTTAAGTATTTAAAACCTATCCATATCATGTCTCTTAAAGAAAATCTATATTACATGTACACATTCATGACAAAGACATCTGTCTTTTCCTGTCTTCTCAGGATTTGTCAAAGACATTTATTCATTCCCAGTAATACACGTTATTATATATGAAAAGGTATATCTTAAAACTTCCAGACAAATTATACATATATATCGCTTATTAACGCCTTCACCGTTGTAAAAATAAACTTCAATATAATGTTTTATACATAATCAAAATGATACGCTCTCTTAAATTCATATATTTATCGTATCCTTTTCTATCACTTGTGAAGCATCGTACCCTTCTTTATCCAATATACAAGAAAATCCTTTGATAACGTGAGTTACTCCATTATCATTTCGGGATTTTCCATGCGTATAGAGAATTGTGGGAATGAAAATGATAGTCACAGGATATTAGGAGAACAAAACTCGTTCAAGTCATTGAAGAAGTATCATCGAGATAGTTTTTCACAAGTATGTCCCTTCCTTTCCATATTATAATCAAATACGAAAAAGATAGCTCGATTAAGAAGTGGTGAATATTTTTGTACCTTCAGGTAGTATCACCTCTTCGCCTACATCAGCAAGAGTAACGGTAAGTGGCAGGATTAAAGGCATTAGTATTTCCTGATGCTGCATAACCTGATGTTGCGTGGTTACCGTAGGCTCAGCTTGTCTCGCTATAGCGATTGTTTTAATGTTTTGCGCCTTGATTACTTGTGCCTGGCCGATCGTGGTTTGATGCAACCTAACTGGATGCGGTTCTGATTGCATCTGTATTTGCACTTGCTGTGGCTGATGTTGATGTTGTAGCTGTTGTTGTTGCTGTTGCTGTTGTGTCTGCTGAATCACCTGTTGCGCCCGGTTCTGAGTCTGCAAAAGATTCTGTTTGCAACGCTTGCTGTGCGCGTAGCGACTGCCGTTATTATTAAACTTTCTGTCGCAAGTTGGACACTCGTAAGGTCGTTGACCCGTATGAATAAACATGTGCTCCTTTAATGATTTCAATCGCCGGAAGTTCTTCGGACAGCACTTGCAGTGGTACTTGGCTTCGCCAGTGTGCGACGTCAAATGATTTGCCAAGGTGTCAGCACGGGCAAACGCTCGCGAACAATATTGACAGATGTACGGACGTTCCTGCGTGTGTGTGCGCATATGCATCTTCAAGTAGGCATTAGTGGTGAATGGTCTGGAGCATACTTCGCACACATACGGTTTGATACCCTTATGAGCGCGCAGATGCGCTAGCAACGTTGTCGACTGCGTAAAGCTCTTGCTGCATATTTCACAGAGGAATCTCTTCGAGCTATCGGTCTCTTTGTTCTTCTTAAAAGTGCGATCATGCTTAGGCAGATGATTATTGAGCTGTTCCTCCTTAATGAAACGTTTGGAGCAACGAGTGCATTTGAATGGTTTGATCATGTTGTGTTTTGCCACGTGAATCTTCAGGTGTTCTCGCCGATAGAATTTCTTCGGGCATATTTCACATAGGTACTTCTTGCCCTCGTGAACCTGAATGTGTCGCAACAGGCCCTTCCTAGAGGTATATTGTTTATTGCATTCGGTACACTCAAGTCCCACAATATCGGTCCTCCTTTTCCGGGTCATTTTATCATTTAGTCTCTTTTCTTCGGATTTTGGCTCGGTGTCTCTCAGATCCTCCTCCGTTAAGATGCCCTCGGTGACGTGCTTGGCCCTGTGCTCGCGCAGAATCTCATTGTTTTCGAAACTGTCGCCGCAGATGTTGCATTTCCTCACCTGATCAGGATTTTTTTCCGCGCACTTATCATAATGCGCCTTTAGTTTGTCTTTTCGATAGAACTTGATACTGCAGATATCGCACTCGAAATTTGGCTCCTCATGTAACAGTTGATGGCGCAGTAACGACTTCTTCGTACTGTATTGCTTCTTGCACGTGGTGCATTCATGGCTGTCTACTGGCCAGTCAAGACCACTTTCAAAGTCGGAGTTGGTATCGCCGTCGTCGTTATCGTTCGTGTTGCTCTTCTGCGCTTCCTTCTTCTGTTTCTCCACCGCTTTCTCCATTGCTTTCTCTGCCTTTTCCTTCTTTACATGTTGCTCCATGTGCCTCACCAATGCTTGTTTCAAACAGTACCTCTTATTACAGATCGTACACTCAAATTCCTTATATCTGTACTTCTTTGCGTCATGCTTAATGACATAATGCTTGTCCAATTTAATATCGTAATCGGTATTATCATCGTAATCTTCGAGACCGTCCTCAGTCTTGATCTTATCGATGATTTTCTGTGCTGCTCTCGCCGCCACGCGTTTTATACGCTTGTTGGGATCGTATTCCTGTCCCTGTATAAATGTCTTATGATTTGTGGCAACCAAGTGATTTCTCAATGTGAGCTCATTGCCGAAGGTTTTATTACATTGAGTACATTTGTAAGTCTTCACTCGTGCATGCTGCTCGGCATGTCTGCGTAGGAAATCCTTCCGTGCAAATTGTTGACAGCATATCTTGCATTCGTAAGAATGGGTGTCGGAGTGTGTTGTCTGCATGTGTCTGGAGAGTGCTTTCTTGCGTGAGAATGTTATTGAACATATTGGACACTTTAGTTCCTTCGTAATTTCGGCGGATTCACTGTTCTCTCCATCTTTGATGTTCTTGCTGTCATCATCATCATTCTCTTCGCACTTGGTAATTTGCTTCATATCCTCTTCCAAGTCTTGCTCAGTGAGTACGCCTTCGACCACATGCTTTGTTCGATGATTTTTTAGTTGTTCTAGAGTGTCGTATTCCTCGTTGCACACGCTGCAGTTGAAGCTAACATGCGTGAGCGAATGCTTTTGCAAACCTCGCTTTGTATCGAATTTTTCTGGACATTTGTTACATATAAATTCCTCAATAAGACTACGCTTTCTTATCGCTTTTTTATCCTGATCATTGTCGCTTGCAATGTCGTCGACTATACTTCCTCTCTTTTGTTTTCTACATTCAACATCCGATTTGTTGCCGTTATCTAAGTCTAGACTGTACTCATCCTCATGAAACATCTCAAATGACATCGAATCTTCCTTCGCTTCCTGCCCC